CGTCCTCTTGGGCCGTCTTGGGGGGTCCGTGAGCCTCACAGGACAACCTTTTTGGGCCGTCGCGGGCCCTCTTGGGTCTCTCTTGGGCTGTCTTGGGGCTCGGGGGCGTCTGGGGCACTGCGAGGACCAAGCAAGCAAGTATGCTGAAAACGTACGTTGTACAACGGGAATGGGCCGATTTTTGCCTCTTGAAGGCCCTCTTCGGCCAGCTTCAAACCATCTCGGGCCCTCTTGAGGCGCTCTTGGACGTCTTGGGGCCCTCTTGGGCCTCGCTGAGGCTGTCGGACAGCGTCGCCGCCGTCGGCGTGGCCGTCGTCGTCGTCGCCGTCGATCATCGATCGGCGGCGTCGACTGTTGTCATCGTCGTCGATCGTCATCGGTCGTCGTCGTGGTCGTCGTCGTCGTCGTCGTGAATCACCGTCGCCGGTCGTCGTCTCCGATCGTCGATCGCCCTCGAGCCTCCTCCTCCTCTCTCCCCCCCTCCTCCCCTCCACTCCTCCTCCCCGCCTCGTCCTTCTCCTCTTCCTCTTCCTCCTCCTCCTTTTCCTCCTCCTCCTCCTCCTCCTCCTTCGCCCTCTCCGTCTCCTCCGCGCGGAAGAAATCCAACAACATTTCGCGAAAATCAGCGAACTGTGGCCCTCTGGGAATTTTCGAATGTCATTTTAGGCCCTTTTGGGGCCGTCCTGGGGCCCTCTTGGGCGCCCTGGGAACCCGGAAATCATGTTCCCGGAGAATCTTCTGGGAACATGATTTCGAACGAGGCCCTCTTGGGCCTCCCTGAGGCCGTCTTGGGGGCCTCCTGGGCCAGCTTTGGGGCCTTTTGGGCCGTCTTGGGCTGTCTTGGGGCTCCTCGGGGGCCACTCTGAGGACGAAGCAAGCGAGTATGCTGAAATTGTACGTTTTACAGAGGAATGGGTAAAGTTTTGCCTCTTGAAGGCCCTCTTGGGGCCCTCTTCGGCCATCTTCAAGCCATCTCGGGCCCTCTTGAGGCGCTCTTGGACGTCTTGGGGCCCTCTGGGGCCTCGATGAGGCTGTCTTGTGTGCCCTTGGGCTGTCACGCGGGCAGCGTCGCCGCCGTCGGCGTGGCCGTCGTCGTCGCCGTCGATCGTCGATCGGCGCCGTCGACTATTGTCATCGTCGTCGATCGTCGTCGTCGTCGGTCGTCGACCGTCGTCGATCGTCGTCGTCGCCGTCATCGTCGTCGTCGTCGTCGTCGTCGTCGTCGTCGTCGTCAATCACCGTCGCCGGTCGTCGTCGCCGATCGTCGATCGCCCTCGAGCCCCCTCCTCTCTCCCCCCCTCCTCCCCTTCACTCCTCCTCCCTGCCTCCTCCTCCTTCTCCTCTTCCTCCTCCTCCTCCTCCTCCTCCTTCGCCCTCTCCGTCTCCTCCGCGCGGAAGAAATCCAACAACATCTCACGCAAATCAACGAACTGTGGCCATCCGGGCCTTTTCGAAGGTCCTTTTAGAGCACTTTTGGGGCCGTCCTGGGGCCCTCTTGGGCGTCCTGGGAACCCGGAAATCATGCTCCCGGAGAAAATTCTGGGAACATGATTTCGAACGAGGCCCTCTTGGGCCTCCCTGAGGTTGTCTTGGGGGCCTCCTGGGCCGGCTTTGGGGCCTTTGGGGCCGTCTTGGGCTGTCTTGGGGCTCCTCGGGGGCCACTCTGAGGACGAAGCAAGCGAGTATGCTGAAATTGTACGCTTTACACAAGGAATGAATAAAGTTTTGCCTCTTGAAGGCCCTCTTGGGGCCCTCTTCGGCCATCTTCAAGCCATCTCGGGCCCTCTTGAGGCGCTCTTGGACGTCTTGGGGCCCTCTGGGGCCTCGATGAGGCTGTCTTGTGTGCCTCTTGGGCTGTCACGCGGGCAGCGTCGCCGCCGTCGGCGTGGCCGTCGTCGTCGCCGTCGATCGTCGATCGGCGCCGTCGAGTATTGTCATCGTCGTCGATCGTCGTCGTCGTCGGTCGTCGACCGTCGTCGATCGTCGTCGTCGTCGTCGTCATCGTCGTCGTCGTCGTCGTCGTCGTCGTCAATCACCGTCGCCGGTCGTCGTCGCCGATCGTCGATCGCCCTCGAGCCTCCTCCTCTCTCCCCCCCTCCTCCCCTCCACTCCTCCTCCCTGCCTCCTCCTCCTTCTCCTCTTCCTCCTCCTCCTCCTCCTCCTCCTCCTCCTCCTCCTTCGCCCTCTCCGTCTCCTCCGCGCGGAAGAAATCCAACAACGTCTCACGCAAATCAACGAACTGTGGCCATCCGGGCCTTTTTGAAGGTCCTTGTAGGGCCCTTTTGGGGCCGTCCTGGGGCCCTCTTGGGCGCCCTAGAAACCCGGAAATCATGTTCCCGGAAAGGCTTCTGGGAACATGATTTCGAACGAGGCCCTCTTAGGCCTTCCTGAGGCCGTCTTGGGGCCCTCCTGGGCCGGCTTTGGGGCCTCTTGGGCCGTCTTTGGGGGGTTCCGTGAGCCTCACAGGACGACCCGTTTGGGCCGTCGTGGGCCCTCTTGGGTCTCTCTTGGGCTGCCTTGGGGCTCGGGGGCGTCTGGGGCACTGTGAGGACCAAGCAAACGAGTGTGCTGAAAATGCATGCTTTACGAACGGGAATGGGCCGGTATTTGCCCGTCCGTCTGTCCTACTGCTCCTCTCCAAACCCTCGTTCCCTAACCTCCCGATCGTGTTCCCGGACCCCCGTCCCTTCCCCCAGAGCTCCGCAGCAGTAGGAAAGCGCTCCGAAATGGTGAGAAATCATGTTCCCGGAAAGCGTTCAAGAATATGAATCGTACTTCGTCCAAGGCGCCTCGGAAGGCGCAGAATACTCTTCCAAGGCGCGGAATCATGTTCCCGGACCGCCTTCCGGGAACATGATGGGGACGACCTCCTGAGGGCCTCCAGTGGGCCTCTTGGGGGCCTCTCGGAGGCCTGTTGGGCTCTCCTGGAGCGTCTTGGGGCGCGCTCAGGGCCATTTTTGGGCATCTTGGGGGCCTCTTGGGGGCCTCCAGGGAGGCTCTTGGGGGCCAATTTGGGGCCTCTTGGGGCCTCGCGGGGCCCTCTTGGGGCCCGCTGGGCTCGCTTAGGCAGTCTTGAAGCCCTGTCGGGGCTCTCCTGGAACCGTCTTGGGCGGCTCCTGGGCCATCTTGGGGCTCTCCTGGGCCGTCTTGGGACGATTTTGGGGGTCTCTTGGGCCGTCTTGGGGCGGTCTTGGGGGCCTCTGCGGCCGTCTTGGAGCGCTTTTAGGAGACTCTTGGACAGTCTTGGAGCGTCGGAACCCTGAAAAAGCGAGAAGGCTCAAAGCCTCGAACAAAAACAATAAAAAACAACGATTTTGGCTTGTCGCGGCTCTCTTGGGAGGCCTCTTGGGATGCCTTCGGGGCCTCATGGAGCTCTCTTGGAACGTCTTCGGGGCTTCCTGGCCATTCCTGAGGCTATGTATGCGCGTCTTGGAGCGCTCGCGGGCCGTCTTGGGCGGTCTCGATCTGTTCCTGGCGGTCCCAGGGGCCCTCCAGGACGCTTCGGACGCTCCCGGGGGCGCCCTGCACCCCCCATGGAGATTACAACCGCCCTGGGCCGCCCCCGGGCCCGACTCGGATATATGTATATATCTATATATATATATATATATATATATATATATATGTGGAAACATACGTAAGACATGTAGGATTGTGTACACAGGAGAAGGACAATCTATAGAAACATACGTACGTCGTCCAAGGCGCTTCCGAAGGCGCCTCGGAAAGCGCAGAATACTCCTCCAAGGCGCGGAATCATGTTCCCGGACCGCCTTCCGGGAACATGATGGGGACGACCTCCTGAGGGCCTCCAGTGGGCCTCCTATATATATATATAGAGAGAGAGAGAGAGAGAGAGAGAAAAACATACGTAAGACATGACGGATTGTGTACACATGAGAAGGACAATCTATAAAAACATACGTACGTCGTCCAAGGCGCCTCGGAAGGCGCCTCGGAAAGCGCAGAATACTCCTCCAAGGCGCGGAATCATGTTCCCGGACCGCCTTCCGGGAACATGATGGGGACGACCTCCTGAGGGCCTCCAGTGGGCCTCTTGGGGGCCTCTCGGAGGCCTGTTGGGCTCTCCTGGAGGCGTCTTGGGGCGCGCTATATATATATATGTATATATAATATTGATATATATATAGGGAAGAAATTGAAATACGTGGAAGGAAGTGGCACGACTCGGGAGGGCTTGGGGGAGGGGTATATATATATATATATATATATATATATATATATATATATATAGAATATATACGTAAGACATGTAGGATTGTGTACACAGGAGAAGGACAATCTATAGAAACATACGTACGTCGTCCAAGGCGCCTCGGAAGGCGCCTCGGAAAGCGCAGAATACTCCTCCAAGGCGCGGAATCATGTTCCCGGACCGCCTTCCGGGAACATGATGGGGACGACCTCCTGAGGGCCTCCAGTGGGCCTCTTGGGGGCCTCTCGGAGGCCTGTTGGGCTCTCCTGGAGGCGTCTTGGGGCGCGCTCAGGGCAATTTTTGGGCATCTTGGGGGCCTCTGGGGGCCTCCGGGGAGGCTCTTGGGGGCCTCTTTGGGGCCTCTTGGGGCCTCGCGGGGCCCTCTTGGGGACCGCTGGGCTCGCTTAGGCAGTCTTGAAGCCCTGTCGGGGCTCTCCTGGAACGGTCTTGGGCGGCTCCTGGACCATCTTGGGGCTTTCCTGGGCAGTCTTGGAACGATTTTGGGGGTCTCTTGGGCCGTCTTGGGGCGGTCTTGGGGGCCTCTTCGGCCGTCTTGGAGCGGTTTTGGGAGACTCTTGGACGGTCTTGGAGCGTCGGAACTCCGAAAAAGCGAGAAGGCCAAAAACGTTTAAAAAAAACTATAAAAAACAACGATTTTGGCTTGTCGGGGCTCTCTTGGGAGGCCTCTTGGGATGCCTTCGGGGCCTCATGGAGCTCTCTTGGAACGTCTTCGGGCCTTCCTGGCCATTCCTGAGGCTATGTATGCGCGTCTTGGAGCGCTCGCGGGCCGTCTTTTTTTTCTGACGTTTGCGAGTAGGCAATAGTATATAGAACGCGTTCGGTAAGACGACGGCGACCGCCGCGGAGACAGCTGCCGGACGCGCGCAGGCGAAGGGAGTGGAGAAGAGGCAGCGGAGGGACGACGACGGCGACGCCGTCGTACAAGAGTCACAGAACAAATGCAAGAGCTGCTCCAACCTCTTCGGGTTTCCAGGAGAAAAAAAAACGCAACGGCGAGAATCACGTCCAAAGTCTGGTCAGAAGCGCGCTTCGGGGGGGGGGGGAAGGGGGCGAAAAGAAGAGGGGAGAGGGAAAAGAGGGGGGGGAGGGGCGCCTGCTCAGGGGCAGGACAGCAGTGAACCAGAAATAGATACACAAATTACATCTGGGGTGAAACACGGGACCCTGGTAAGGGGTATGAGGATCCAGCGCAGACGCAATCAAAAGACAGCACTGTTCATCCGCATCCATGTAATCCTTCCTCTATCCGACGCCTTATGCCAGGCACGATACAGACCCATAACTTCAGAGCTGAAAAAAGTTAAGGCGCAACTGAATCAGCCAGCACGTTTGGCTGAGCTGACTGAGCACTGCCACACATGTATTGAGTGAGATCTGAGATGGGATCGTCTAATGCGACGGCCTCTGCAATGACATAAAACACCAGCGCCTCGAAACATACTCCCCGGAAACTGGCCAGGAACCTGTGTCGGCATTGCCCCTAATGGCGACAGCCTCGTTGACCCATGCTGCTGAGCAAGAGACGCGTCGTGTGCCACTGCCTCATGAAACTTGCACCATCCAGTCTGGACAATACTGCGATACGGTGGGTGGCATATCTTCGGGCCAACTCCTACCGCACTCCATGGTACAATCGACAAGAAAATCAACGATTTTGCGCCAGCGCCACAGAACTGGATCGCCCATGTCTGCGGCCAAGCAGCCGGCCAGGGATCGCCCATGTCTGCGGACGGGAGCCAGCTCGATCCCCTCGTCCTCCTCCCTCCCTTCCCAACTTCCAATAGGCAACACGCACTCCCCCCCTCTCGATCTCCACCAGAACGAGGTAAGAGAAAGGATGGAGGCATCTCTCGCTCTCCAGAGAGAGGTAAGAGAAAGGATGGAGGCAAATCCTGCTCAACCTGCTACTGCACATCCTTCTCCTCGCTGAAGTAGCAGGAGGAAGGTGGTGATGGAAGCGCTGGTGACTAGCGTGCGCTGGACGAAATGAACTGCTGGGCCCTCTTCAGAACCAGGTCGTACAGTCTGCGCTCCTGCCTCGTCAGATCCCGCAAGACGTCCAAGTGCTGCTCGGAGAGGGCACACTTTCGGCTGCCGCCCGTATTGGACTGAACCTTGGGGAATTTCACTACATCTCCGAATTGTGGAAACCATGAGGCAACAACATCGAGCGTCTTGCTATTTTCCACTATCAGCGGGACGCAGCGGGCAAGGTTGTTCAATGTGCTACTGAAGGCGAGCTCCCACTCCTGGCTGTCGTCACTTGTGCTAAACAACGCCTCGTCAACGAAGCTGCTCAACATGCGGAATGGCTCGTTCATACAGCTATACCCGTACTCAGAACGACTCGCCTGAAAGAATCTTCTCATATCCTCGGGCGCGAAATCGGCCAGGCAAGAAGGGGCACCCTTGCCCTTATTGTGAAACCGGTAATAATAGCACGACTCTATGCGCGACAACGGGTCCCGGAAGTTCGCAAAACAGGAAAACCGCGCAACACCCTGGTGCCAAGACTTGTCAGAAGTGTCCCAGCGGCCCCGCCGCGCAAACATGCGGGACATCTGCAGCCAGTCCACATGCCCGCCATAGACGGCCACTATGGAACCACCGTAGCTATAGGAGTCGCATCTTGTCTCGCCCATGTTCGGGAAGCATTTGATGTGATATGTGAGCCCCTTCTTCTCGCAGACACCAACCATGATGTCTCGCAGGGAAGAGCCGCCCGCCTTCCTCTGGTGGATGAACACGAGCGGTCGCTCGACAGAGAACCTCTCGACTTTGGGGGCAGAGGTGCCTGCAAAAATCTGTCCGCAGCCCTCTCGATTCCGCTGCCACGCTGAGGCTCGGGGGGGACCAGCCGCTTCGACTGCTCCGAGGACAGCTGGCCTTGGAGTTCCAGGACCTCCTTCCTCAGCTGCTCCGCCTCCTCAGCGCGTGCCCTCTCCCTCTGCCGCTCCTGTTCAGACAGCTTGGCTTTCAGCTCCAAGACCTGCTGCGTCAACTGTTCCACTGGAGCAGAACTGACCGACTGGTAATGCTGCAAAGCCGTTTCTGGCACTTGATTCTTGGTGGGCCCGACGTGAACAGCAGAGGTGAACAGTGAAGACTGCGCACCCACAACGATCCCCGCCATCACACATGCCACAAGAACTGCTGCATGCATCGCGCACACGATGATACTTGATCCATAGCATCTATGGCGCCTAATATTGCCAGTGTCTGTGGGCTCCGTCCCAGTAATTTCCGACGCGCTTGCATCCACCATCACTCTCGACCGTCGACCTTTAAGAATGGATTGCGATGTCTCTCGAGCGCCGCCAGTCTCTCGTCCGTCGCTTACATGAGGAACTAACTCAAGCGACAAATCTTGGAACAAGGGCTTGATCCACCATGGCTTGAGCCAAAATGGCTACGGACGCTCGCGGGCCGTCTTGGGCGGTCTCGAACTGTTCCTGGCGGTCCCAAGGGCCCTCCAGGACGCTTCGGACGCTCCCGGGGGCGCCCTGCACCCCCCCTGGAGATGACAGGCACCGCCCCAGGGCCCTACTCCTATATATATATATATATACACATAAAAAAATAAATACATATATGAAATCATACTCTCCCAGGGGGAGCCGATAAGTCCGGGGGGGGGAGGGGGGTAGAATCTATTAGTTTTTTAGAAAGGAGAATCTACGTGATGCAGCCGATGTGGTGCAGCATATCTCTCTATATATATACACAGACGAATACCCATACAAGACTGCATTGGTATGTCGCGCCATGCACTGTTGTCCGTGAGGCTTGGCATGCAGGCAGGAGGGCAATAAGGTAAGACTGAATTTTTAGCGATAGCTCGTGATTGCCTTGCCTGGCATCGTCGTTGTAACCATGCATCTCGTTATCCTGTCCTCATGTTTCATCTCCCTCTTTCTCATTATCAACTCGGAGGCTCATCCTAGGAGAGCCTCTTGTAAGTCTCAAGAAAGTCTTCAAGGGCTTGTTGGGGCCTTCTGTGAGCTTCCTGTGTTCCTTCTGGGGGCCTCTGGGGGCTTCCCTGGGCCACCCTGCTTCCAATCGCGGTCTCCCTGAACGATCGGGTCACGATTTGGAATGATTTGGGAGGCGTCTTGGGGCCACCTTGGGCCGTCATGGGGCTCTCTTCGGGCCATCTTGGGGCCCAAAAGGGTCGTCTTGGGGCTCCTCTTGGACTGCTCGGAAGCCCTCTTGGAAAAACATTGGGGCGATCGTGTGGCCTCCTGGGTGGTCTCGGACGCCCGGAAGACCGAAGAACCGAGCATTCCCCAAATCGTGCAAAAAACGATAGGCCGTCCGTGTTTTTCGCGTGTCGCATGCTTCTTGGGGGTCTTCTGTGGGTCGTGTTCAGGCGTCTGGTGGGTGTCTGGGCCTTCTGTGCGTTCTCGCGGGGCCGTCTGGCCGCCGCCTTGACCGATTTGGCCACGCTGCCTGGGCCCGGCAAGGGGCTTCGGGAGCCCCTGGGAAGCGCAGGGGGCCGTCTGCAAGGGCGTCCAGAGTGCCCCCGGGGCCAAGGATCTGGATGGGGTCCAGTTTAGGACGACAGGCGGCGACGGGGCGGCGACGGCGACTACACGTCCGCCAGATCGGCCCCCAGACCCAGCTGCTCGTTCCAGAGACAAGAACCCCTGACTGTAAGCACTGTTTGGGGAGTTTTGCCTGACCGATAGATGCTCCGAAGTTCCTTTGCGATTCTGGAATCAAGCCGACGCTGCAGCGGGAACGCCGTTTTGAATCCCCCAAGCTCTGTAATTGAAACACAGCATATGAGATACCGTAGGCTGACATCTTGTGTATGTGTGAGAAGCAATACGCGGGAGAGGCCGCGCCATTGAAAGGACAGTGGCAGTCGCGGGAAGTGGGGAGGGGAGTGGGAAGGGAGGCGGAAGGGAGGGGGGAAGGGGAGCCGCGGGGGAAGGGAGGAGGGGTAGAGCTAGCTGGGCACGCTCGCATCACACTTCGCACCCTGCCCTTCTCGCGCATCCTTTCCCACTGCGGTGTGAGCAAGATCAGGAGGCGGACCAAGGAGGCAAGAGCGGCGAGACCAAAATGGGTCCAACCAACCAGCCAGCCAGCCAACCGACCGGCCAGCCAGGCAACCAGGCAACCAGGCAAGGCAACCAGCCAAACCGCCAACCAACCAACAAGCCAGCCAGCTAACCCACCGACCAACCAGCCAGCCGACCAGCCAACACGCAACCAGCAGACCAGCAACCAGCCCCAACGACCAACCTGGAGTCCCAAAGGACCCGATAACAGCCAACACCTCTAGTCTCGAGCCTCGAACCCTCGACGACAGTGACGACGACGGCGAAAGCTGTAGTCGACTTCATCCAAGGCAGCCAACCAGACAGCCAGCCAGGCAACCAACCGGCCAGACAACAAGCTAGATAGGCAGCCATTTAGTCAGGCAGCTAACCCGCCAGCGAGCCAATCAGCCAACCAACCAGCCAGCCAGCCAACCAGTCAACCAGCCAGCCAGCCAGCCAACCAACCCCGACGAATGACCGTCAACACGCAGAACGTCCCAAACATCCATCCTCAATCCTCGAAGCCTCGACGGCGACGGCGACAGCGTTGCCGTTGCCGACGTCAGCCAGCTAGCCGCCAACCAGCCAACAAGCCAGTCAGCCCAATAGCCAGCCAGCCAGCCAACTAGCAAGCCAGCCAGCCAGGAGGCCAACCAGCCAGCCAGCCAGCCAGCCAGAAACCAGCCACCGATCAATCAGCCCGAACGTCAACCAGCCATCTACCAGCCAGCTAGGCAATCACCCAGACAGCCAACCAAACAGCCAGCCAGCTAACAAGCCAACCAATCAGCTACCCGGCCAACCAACCAGCCGGGAAGCCAAATTGCCAGCCAGCCAACCAGCCGGTCAACCAGCCAGCCAGCCAGCCAGCAACCAGTCAACCATCAACCAGCCCAACGACCTACCAGCCACCCATCAAGCTCGACGGCGACGACGGCGGCGAAAGCTATCCAGCCAGTCAGTCAACCAACCGACTAGTCAATCGCTCAGACAGCCGAGCAGCCAGCCTGCCAATCAGCCAGCCAGCCAGTCGATGAGCCAACTAATCAGTCCGCGCACAAACGCTTTTTTGGGAGACACCCAGACGGCACACGAGGCTCTGCGTATGAGACTATTGGAATTATATGTGATTGCTCTGTTTAGCGCAGGTCGCAACCTCTATTCGTTTACACGGCCCGCCACTGGAGGCCCACAAAGACACGGGCGCGAGTGACTTGCACTCACTGCGAAATTCCTTCGTGAAATGCCAGCGTGTATGATCGTTCGGGAATGCCTAATTTTTGCGTGCTAGAATCGGTTGAAGCAGCGGGCGGCCCCTGCCGCGATTTCCCAGGACCCCTGAAGGTGCAAATAATGAGCGCGTTTCGGGTTCCGGGAGCGGGCTCGGTGCAGTAGTTTGCGTCGCTAGCAATGTCGCGTTACATTGGGGCGCGCATCCCAGAGTCCCGCGCGTGCACGCGGGCCCCAACGAGCCACATTAGATAAGCCATCCTGGAGCCCAACGTACTCATACAAGACTGGGTGAGCCGCGCGAGGGGATTCACCCCAGAGCCCCGCGCGTGCACGCGGGCTGAGATAAGCCACGTGAAAGGATATAGCCCAGAGCCCCGCGCTTACACACAGGCTCGGAAGACCCACGTTGACGCACCGCCCGATGGCCCTGAGAGAGCGCCCAGGGGGGCTCCAACGGAACCTGCCAAGGGACTCCTCGGGCCCCTCCCAGAGCACTACTGGGCCTCTGTTGGGCTTCTCCTAGGACCGCGTGGGTCAAGAGAACGGGGGGGGGGCGGGAGGGAGCGATCATCAAGGGCAGACAAAGGAAGCCGAGGAAAAAACAGCTGGGGCGGCCAAAAGCCTGAACCAACTCTGGAGACACAAAGTGCCCAGAGCTGGTTCGGGCTGACCGCTCCGGGGAGGGCGACGACGAGGAGCGAGGAGCACGCGTACGGCAGCTGCTGGCCCTCCACTAGGGATCCCCCCCATCGCTGCCACAGCCATCACCATGACCATCCATCACCATCAACACCATCATCATCGTCATCGCAATCGTCGTCGTCGTCGTCGTCGTCGTCGTCGTCGTCGTCGTCGTCGTCGTCGTCGTCACACCGGGGCCCTCCAGCGGTCCACTTGGGCCCCTCTCGAGGCCCTCTTGGGCCCCTGTTTGGCCTCCCGGGGTTCCTGTGGTGTGGGGCCCCTCGCGTGGCCCAGTCGGGGGCCTCTCGAAGCACCTGGGGGCTTCGGGGCCCCTGGGAGCTCCGCAGTCCACGGGCTCCCTCCCCTCCTCCTCCCTCCTCCCTCCCCTCCTCCTCCCTCCTCCTCCCTCCTCCTCCCTCCTCCTCCCTCCTCCTCCCTCCTCCCTCCTCCTCCCTCCTCCCTCCCTCCTCCTCCCTCCTCCCTCCCTCGGTCACCCTCTCTCCACGAAAGCTCCGATCTCTGCGGGCGCCCCTCCGGCGCCAGCGCGGACGGTGGGGGGTAGGCGATCGCTGCCAGGGAGCGAGTGCCCAGACACCCTGGTCGGAGGAGGAGGAGGAGGAGGAGGAGGAGGAGGAGGAGGAGGAGGAGGAGGAGGAAAAGGAGGAGGAGGAAGAGGAGGAGAGGGAGGAGGGAGGAGGGAGGAGGAAGAGGAGGAGGAAGAGGAGGAGGAAGAGGAGGAGGAAGAGGAGGAGGAGGAGGAGGGAGGAGGAGGGAGGGAGGAGGAAGAGGAGGAGGAGGAGGAGGAGGTGTACACACATACACATACACACATACACACATACACATACACACATACACATACACACATACACACAGACAATCCATATAAACATACCGACCTACCTACCTACCTACCTGCCTACATGCATACCGACATACGGACACATACACACATACACTCACACACACATGCGCACATACAATCGCGCACACACACACACACGCACATACATACAACCATGCATACATATATACCTACACCCATACACACATACATACATGCATGCATGCATACCTGCATACATGCATCCAACCATACACACACACTTACGTACGTACGTATGTAGACACACACAAACATACACATATATACATATATATAGATACATGTATACATATACACATACATGCATGCACGCATGTATACCTACCAACCTACCAACTTATATGCATGCATGCATGTTCACATAGTGGACATGCATACATTCATACATAGAACAGTATACAACACGATGCACTACGATACTATACAACACGATACAAGCATACATGCGTACATACATGCAAGTAGACATACATACCTACACACATACATACATACACGCATGCATACATGCATGCATTCATACCTGCATACATGCACACGCATGCATACGTGCGTTCATGCATATATATATATA